CGCAGCTGTTAAACGTAATGAAGCTGAAAAAAATATGCTAATTACATGCAGAATAAGAAAAAAATGGTTGGTTACTGTTTTCACTAGATTCATTAAAATGACATGTATCTGCTGCTGCTGCAAAAACAAAAAAGAATATGTCATCTGCTCATTTATTTATCTTCATTCGACTGCCTCAAGAGACAGCTGACTCTTTGTAGTATGTTACTATGTTTTAGTCTCCATTGTACATGTTGAATAAATAAAACAGCTGAATAACATGAATAAGAAGAGCCAATGCGAGTCGTATCCAAATCCATTTCAGATCATTTTTGCAAGGACATATGAAGCAATTTTTTATTCATAAAGGTTCGTTGCAATTTATACTGTCAGTCAGAGTTTTAAAGAAGACGCCTGCTTTTTTTTTTTTTTTTTTTAATGAGAGTTCATGTTGGTAGGAAGTCACCCGCGTTGACTTGCATGACACGTTTATATTCTGTCCCATCTTGATGAGGTTTTAACATATTCCAGGCATGCTTGACCTCAACTACTCTGTCGCTTGTCCTTGAAGAGTCGCACAGGGCTTTGTGTTTCCCCAAGCTTGTGAAGTCTTCCCTCTGACTCGCAGGAGCTCGATCAGGAAATTGTGAGTTCAAAGCAAATCAAACATCTGTTATTTTCTTCAGAGACAATGCTATGTGAGATATTCTTTTGAAACCTGATGAAATACTGGTACACTCAATTAAAGAGTGCTCAGCATGACTGCAAATAAGCTTTTTATCCGTTGATTAGTGAAACTGGACACATTTTTAGACGTTTAATCATGGTTAGACTCACCTGAGACTGTTTTTGTTTCAACATTTGCAATTTTTTTTTTTTTTTAGGCATGCTCTCATTTTTTTCAACAGAATCGAGCAACCATTTTTTTTGACAAATTAAATCTTTGTATGGGCAAATGGACAGAACTGATTTGCAATTAATGGCCCATGTTTGTGGGAATATTTTGATACTTAGTATGCTATTGAAATCTAACTCAACGTTTTGTAAAATAAAGAAATACATCAATGAAATAAAATCTGTTAAGCGTGTATTGTATTCATTTATGTTAAGGACTGAGTGTTCTGTTCTTTGCTTTAGCTAGCTCTTCTTTCTGAATCACATCAAATGGGTTTGACACGCGGAGTCCCACAAGGGTCAGCTCTTGTGCCCCTTTGGGTCAAATTCTGCCAAACTTTAATGTTGACTGTCATAGCTTTGCAGGTGAAAAACAGTTACAGTGTCCCCCAATGACTACGGTTCAATGGAGGCGTGTCACAGTAAAGAAGAAAATAATAACTGGATCCATCCATTATCTGAACTGGTTATCTTCATGAGGGTTGCCGACTCTCCTGGCTTGGCTTCTGCATAACCGGTGAAAATCCGCGCAGCCAATGAAGAGTTGCGACCCAGTGAATTGTGAGGATCCCTGCAAGTCTTGGATTTCTGAGATTCGCCTGAAATATGTGAAAAGATCCATTTGAAATACATTTCACATGTTAAATGTGAAATTGACTTGCGTCTGGATCCGGAAATTATATACTGATTGTCCCCAGTGATATGCGCAGCTCATCTAACAGTCTACTTTGAAGGAGCATGTGTGTTTGCATTCTGTATTTAAAATAAACAATAAAAGAAATCGGAGGACCGGACTCATGACTGAATGTATATTTGGAGCTGTTCCATTATTTGGAAAGGCAGTGAGACGGCCATTGTTTAAGCATTTCCTAGCAACGTGATTCGCCACTCATGCGGGCGCGTCATTTCAATGAATTTCACAATTGGTAGATATTCAGAAAAAAAATAAATAACATGCTTCAAAATCTAACTCCCCATTGCCACCATAAGATAAATGAAAACTCCAAGCTGCCAGCACGAGTCAGCCGGTGCTCTGTCACACGGCCATCAACAGGGGAGTGCGGAAGCAGTTAATTGAATCAAAATGTTTAAGATGTGTCACCTTCAAGACAACATCCTAGCACCGTTAGAGGAAAGTTGCTTAAGTCTCTGGGAAAATACGCGCACCGCTATTTGGCAGGGAACGGTCAAGGTGGTTCCACCTAGAGTGCCTACATTTCATAAAGGTGCAAAGGTGACACACTTAAGTTAATGACAGAATCTCTGGAGCCCAAAAAGGCCGCAGAAGCGCGCTTTTTTTTTGACTAAAGTGTAAATGGCTGCGTACTGTCCTCGTTAAGATGTATGAGCTCGACAGTGAGATGAACTCTGGAGACATGATGCAAAATAGTTGTTTGTTGCTTTTCAAATGACATTTGGCAGAGTGCTTGCGCGTATGGATCTGTTTGCCTTTTAATCTTTTAATATATCAGCCCACAACACTTCCTGCTTTACATTGCTTGTGACCAAATAAATGCATGGTTTTCAATAAAAGAGTCAAAAACAAATGAAGAAATGAACCACTACTCGGATGAAAGGCAGAACAGACTGTGGACTTATTCAAAAGAGCTTCAGGTTTTTTGTCGTAAATGTTATATACCAAAGGCGGGTTTATTTACCGTATTTCCCGCACTATAAGTTGCACCTAAAAGCATTAAATCTGATGAGCCTTATTTATGGTGTCACAGTCTCTTGATATTCCGCATTAAGTTGTTTCCCTGTTAGTGTTCCATTGCCATCTAGTGGTGATTATTAGCAGAAATCAAACGTAACCTTAAAGGGTTCTGCCCGACACTAATTCACAACAAATACCAAAAGCATAGTTAACTACTGACTAAAGATTTGGAAGGATATTTAGCCCCTTGTGGATTTAATCCCAGGAGATTGTGTGCCTTTTTGTTGAATCAATTGTCTTTATAACTTTTTTCTTTCATTTATTGTTTTGTTATGCTATTTGTATATAGATGTTTCATGTCCGTGTTTGTGACCAGCTCTCATAGCTTTATTACAGTTGCAGCGGTTGTAAAGGTACATAAAGCTGTATTGTATTGTATTCCCTTTTGCGTAGTGCGCTCTATATATGAAAACTGTTTTAAAATGGGCCATTCATTCAAGGTGTGCCTTATAATCCGGGTGCGCCTTATACTGCAGAAAATACGGTATTTTTTTTTTCTTCATAACAAACCACCTTGACTGCACATTGCTGCTTATCAACTGATATTGTCCTGCCACTGCAAGGAGCTCAATGTGAATTGATTGCGGCTGGATATAGTGAAGTGTGCTGCCACCATCTGCTGGTAGGGGTCTGAAGCGCACTAGTAGCTCCAACTTTGTTCGTATCTGAAGACAAACCAAAAATGGTTAAGTGACAGCTCGTGTCTAAAAAATCGCAAGTTAAGACATTTGTATCTAAAGGCAAGATCGTCATCGATTTCACGGTCAAATTGTGACTGCATAAAAAAATAAATAAATAAGAAGAAGAATTTTGTTGGTAAGGCTCTTGTAGTTCTCATTCGAAAAGCTGACAAAAGAAATTCCGAGCCAATGGAAAGGTGATTCCTCTTCTGTCCCACTTCTGGACTGTGTTTCAGTGCATACACACAAGACCTTAATGTGATTTGTGCATGCATCCAACTTGAGTCATTTTCGAAGTCGCCCTGGGCCCTGTCCTGTAGTCAATTGTCAAGAGTTGTATTTAGAAGTAGGCCTTCGAGTGCTGGCAATGAATAGCCTTGTGATTTGGCTGCTCCGAGGCTAACCAGATGGGCACTTTCCTCTCTCAGTCACTTTCCATGAAAGAGGTAATCAGTCAGGGTCTTTGGCTGACACTCCATTGGATTAGTGTGATGTCGCCGCCGTGCTTTGGTGCCGTTACTCTGCAACCTTGGGGAGGTACCAAGGTCCCCTGACTTTGATTGCCGACAAAATGCTTCTGGTAGCTTGGACATCATTACTTGACATGTTGGAGAAGAGACGGGATCAGGGTGTGACTGAAGAATCTCCCGAGTATGTTCGATGCTTCTCATGTCTTCCACTTGTCCCCAATCATTCCTTTATGATACTTAGAGGAACAAAGCCCATTGAAAAAGACGTGGCGAACAATCGAACAAAGGAAGGATTTTCTGCTAAAGATGCATTACTCCAAAGGCTCCTGTCCTTCTGCTCTTTCTCCATGATCTTCTCTCAGTTAATTGCTCATTAGGAGAGAGAAATGTGGTTTTAATCGTGAGCGGTCCAAAACTGTCTGAAGTTCATTCCAGCTAATGAATTTCAGAGAGACTGATTGTTCCCATCGAAACAGAAAAAGCAGCACTTGACCGATTATTAAAACATCCAATTAGAGCCTCGAGCGGGTGTTGTTTTGTATGCTCGGGCAAGCATATTTGTGTTTTATGTTTCATCTTATCATGACAAAGTGATGAATTTGTGGGCTTAATTTGGTTGGTTGGCTGCGGAATTATTGCTGATTTATGCTGTTGTGCACGACGCGGCTCAGAATTAAAAGCTCTGGTTGTGGGTGTACATGTACCTTATACTGCTGATATAAATTCAAAGTCAGGTGTGTCTGTTTTTTTTTTTTTTATGGATTCTACAAATTAAATAAAAACCTGTTTGATTAAAAACCCAAAATCAAAAATACAATTACAATTAGCCTTGACTGAGTAAATCTAATGATGTGCTTAGTTAATTGCTTGGTGAATGTTTTAATATATTCTGCCTTTAAATGGCATTTTGATGTTATTCTTAATTAATTAAAAAAAACATTTGTTTCGTTAGGTCGTAACTACTTGGCAGCAGCCAGAAGATACAAAGATAAAAAAGAAGCAAAGGTCAATTATCACATCAAACTTGTGACACTTCAAAAGTTACTATGGAGTCAAATTTGGTAAAATATTATATGTGAGAGGAATTTCAACCACATTTTTTTCCACACTTGGGTCAAAAATCTTCACTGTTCACTTGATTTTACGGTTGAGAAATGTTTAAACCTTGGAAGAGGTCTGTACATTCCTTGCTCCTTTTTCAATCAATGTGGCCTGCCTGCCTTAGTGTCCAAATTAATTCTTGTCTAACTCTTTTCTTTTCAGTGGTGGTTCTCTATTTGCAGGCAATAGGAAACAAAGAGTGGAGGGAGGTAAGAAAACATTATTTTTTTTATTATATGTCAGTATCCGATGTCCTTTTTTTCCATCTGTGTTGACCATCGATGTGAGTGACTTTCAAAAGTGCCGAGGCACAAATTAAAAAACATCAGTCTCCCCAATGCCTCTACAGTGTGTAATCGCAGTCTGAAAAATACTGCACAGGCTATAAAAAAAGTCCATCTATAAAAGATGGGAAAAACACAATGTCAAAAAGAGAGCATACAGTCATGACTAAAGATAAGAAAAGATGCAAGGGAGCTTAATCGTCTCAATAAAAATGCACTTCACGACTCCCCCTGGCATCTTCCAATCTTGCTCTCTGTTTTTACTATTTATGGGTGGAACATGTAACCTTTCATTCATTGCCTCTGCCTTCACAACTGTCTTGTCACATTCCCATGTTACCTTTTTTTTTTTACCCCCTCCAGAGGTGAAAGATGAAAAGTAAGAGCACTGGTGCATACTTCAAAGTATTCCTGGATACGATGGATACATCCAACAACTCACTTGTAACTGCCACTCCTGTTGTGACTGAGGTGTAAATCAGATCACATTTTATGAGCAAGTTTTCCAATCATTCAAAATTTCTAGTGAACCTTTATGTTCATTGGAAAATTGGTCACATGAACGAATGTTCCCAGGAACTCGGTATACTTGTTTTTATTTATTTTTAGAACGGAGCATAATCTTGTTTGTTTGGTTTAAACATCAGTGAAAGCTGCGTTTTTATAACTAATCACCACTTCCCTGCAAAGGTATGCAGCGGTCAGGCCAACTACCGTACTTTCCGCACTATAAGGCCCACCTAAAAACTGTCAATTTTCTCAAAAGATGAAGAGTGTGCCTTATAATCCGATGCGCCTTATATGTGGATCAAAAAAAAAGTGAACCTTTTGTACTGACGTAGATTTCTGCATAAATTTGTCATAAAAACATGATCAGATTTTTTTTTTTCTAACACGTGTCAGTTTTCTTAACAATCGTGTGTTTCTTTGTTTTTACTAAACACAACATAATTGTGGCAGTGCCGGGTGGAAAAAGTGAACCCTTGGATATTTTAGTTTCGGTTTTTGAGCCTCCTTTTGCAGCAATAATTTCAACTGAACATTTGCTGTAGTTGCAGATCAACGGTCAAGAGGAATTTGGACCTTTCCTCTTCATAAAACTATTTTAAGTTTAACCATCTTCTAGCAACAGTGCCAAACTTCCTGCATAGATAGACATTCCGTTTTATGGTGAACTGATGAACGTCAAGGCTTTTGCTGATACTTTTTTGACCCTTTCCAGTTTTCATGCCAGTTCATAATTTTTAATTGTAGGTATTCGTATCGCTCTTTTTTGTCTCAGGCATGGTTCCCATCGGCCTGTGCTACTTGAGGGCAAAGCACTAAAACCTGGTGTTTTTTTTTTTATAGGGCAGGGCAGCTTTAACCACCACCTCCAATCTCATCATATTGATTGGACTGTAAGTTGGCAAACTCCAATTAGCTCTCGGAGAAGTCATTAGCCTCAGGGCTCATATAGCTCTTCCACTCTGTCTTGTGAACATTTATAGGGCAAGTCCTATAACAACATGAATACATATCATTATTTTGTGTGGTATTAGTTTAAGAAAACAGTGGTTGTCTATTGTTGTGACTTTGATGTAAATCGGGTCACATTTTATGACCGTTTTTGCAATCAAGGTAAATCGAAAAGGTTCACATGATTTTTTTCCGCAACTATTTATGTTTCATAGTCAACAATAAATAGTAAAGAGTTACGAGAATTCAGTTGCATATTCAGATGAGGCGGAGCCCAGAGTTGTGCAGGGGTACGGTGTGACCGCGAGGAGCTGACACAAAGTGTATGCTCAGCAAAAGTTACAACAATAAACTGTAAAAAAAAAACATTTAAGACCTCATCATCTGTTAATGCTTGTGTTACTGCTCATGTTTGTATATTGCATCGCCAGTGCAGTATTGAATCCTACCTTGTTACCATAGCAACCCATGTCGACAGGTCAGTGCAGAGAGCTGATATGTGGACAGAGCCGTCGCCAGAGCCCAGCTTTCAGGAGGCCACATGAAATGCATGTTGGGGGCCAATTATTAAAAACACCCTACAGACAGCACCTATTTTGCTCCATATAGTTGGAGATATTCGCGTAGCACTTCTAGTCAATTGTCTTGAAAGGCACCCTTCGTAACAACTACTGGCAAATATTACCCCAGACAACATTTCCAATATATATACATTGATGCCCTCTTCAGTACGTCGATGCCGCAGCCGAATTGGATGTGACAAAGTGAAGCTTATTTGTCAAGATGCCTCCTTCACGTGGTCTTTGTGGTTGTGTCATCAAGCAAGAACTGTTTATTGAATTAATACCAATACCGTTATTGGATGCTAACAGATAAGACTGGCGATCATTCAAACACAAATCACACCACTATTTATTTATATTTTTAATGTCTTCGTGATTAGCAACTCAACATGAATTTTTCAGGACACAAAATAGCCAGCCAGCCATCCATCCATCCATTTTCGACTGCTTATCAGGGGTCGGCTCGCGGGGGCAACAGCTTTAGCAGGGACGCCCAGACTTGCCCCTCCCCAGCCACTTCTTCCAGCTCATCCCTGGGGATCCCACTGCGTTCCCAGGCCGGCCGGTAGACATAGTTTCTGGGTCATCCCCAGGGCCTCCTCAAAGTGGGACATGCCCGTAACACTTCACCAGGGAAGCGTCCAGCATCCTAATCAGATGCCCGAGCCACCTCATCTGGCTCCTCTCGATGTGGAGGAGAAGTGGCTCTGCGCCAACCTTCACTTTCCACTATATGACTTTTGGTTTCCATTTGAGGCAGCAAAGTAGGGACAATATTTAAGTACGATGACTTGCCAAATCCTTTTTGTGTTTTTGCTTTTTGCCTCTGTTGCTTCAAGGGAAGGCGTTCAAGACAACATAAGCTTTAATAATTCAGAATGTTTTACAAATGGAATTCCACATGGTCAACAAAATTTAATCAATGTTTAATGACCATCCCTGGTTGGCATAAACTTTCAGCCATCAGACATGGTCTTATTCCATGTGTTAGGATTTAGTCATTATAGGGCCTAAAATGCACTGCATCCTACAGAGTAAACACACAGTCATCAGATAGTGTGACCACATTTTTGGGTGCCTCGAGCCAATGATCATTCATGAGGTGAAACCAGACAAATATTGTTTGCTTTTGAAATTACATTTCCAATCGAGAGACAAATTGGAGATGGAAAAGGCAACTCTGCATGTGACATTCTTTTCCCTGAACCTGGAAACTAGTGGCGATGCTTGCATCACTTTCACAAAAAAAAAAAGAAAAAAAGAAAACGTTCAATCGATCTGAGTGAGTTTGTTGTGGCGGCATACACGCAGTCGAAGTGATTCTTCCCAGTGCCGTAATGACAGTTGACATTGGACGAAGAGAAAACTCTTTGAAACATGACAGGAACAAAATTGATCAGCTGAAAGGTCATTGTGTCACAAGATTTGACCGTGACGTAGTTGTGTTCGACAACTGCTGCACTGTGTAATGTCTGTGCATTTTGAATTAGAAATCGAAAGATCAACCTCAAATTCATGAGAGCTCTCACATCCCTCCATTCTAAGAACTGCTTCTGAGTTTCCCCATTGAAAAAAGTATGTGGTGTACCCCTTTATGGGGCTATGTTTGATCTCTTAAACTTGAGCTTAAATGGCCTAACTCAAAGGCAGTAGTTTCTCTGAGCATGACAAGGTAAAATCTAATGCGAATACTTCCCTCTCATGAATGCAAATCATTATGGCAAAAAAAGTATTGCGTTGTATCATATTTCCGCAGTATAAGGCGCATTTAAAAGCATTCATTTTTCTCAAAAGCCGACAGTGCGCTTTACAATCCGATGCACCTTATATATGTGAAATTATTCTGATTTCTTGGACGTAGTATTTTAGATGTTCTGGAAATTGCTTTGTTACAGCTGCAGCTGTTGTGAAGGCTCTCTATAAATCGAGCTGTATTTTATTGTAGTTTATTTGCTTTGGCATAGCTTCATCTAGTGGATGGATAACACAACTGCAGCCACTATTGTAGCTTCTATGCTTTGCGCTTTATCATGTGGTGCGCCCTATATATGAAAACTGTTTAAAAATAGGCCATTCGGTGAAAGTGCGACTTATACTACGAAGCGCCTTATCGTGCGGAAAATACGTTCATTTGATTCTAATAAATATATTGTCAACATGAAACCTGATTGATTTTGGTTATTAAAAAAAAAAAAAAAAATTTAAAAAGACATCCCAAATTGTTTCACCCGCAATGCAGCTGTCAAAAAAAATCAATGCTGATTGAAATTTGAAACCAATTGGGATTTGCTGTGGGGCTGATACAGCGGGTGGGATCTAAGGTCCAGGGCACTTCCATGAGTCCCTGGTAATGAATGGGGTAAGGACGCAGTTGATAGCATCGCCTCTGTGTCCAGGGCACTAAAGACATGAGTCCGGGTTTTGTAGCTCTGGCGAGGCAGTGCCAAAATCAATAGCTCGTTACATGGTGCTTTTGGGCTAGACCGCGAAGGCGAGGCTCGTACTCCACTGGGGGAATTAGTGGTGGTGTGATTGTCAGCGGGAGAATGTTGGCAACTGGACTTGTGCGGGATAGAGAGCCTGGAGTCTTGCTCAAAATAGCCCCCGGATTTCTCAGGGGACACAACATTTAATACAAAGCCCAAGCCCTTTTTTTGTTTAGATCATATTTTAATGGATATTTGAGTGTCTTAACTGTAACAAATGTTGTCATAGTATGAATATGACTTTATGAGTTTCTGTATTTTCTTTCTTTTTTGAGGAAGTTTAATCTCATGTTTTGACTTTTCCATTGTTGTAGTCCGGCCGGACAGAGGTGATCGATAACACCCGGAACCCGGATTTTGTCAGAAAGTTTGTCTTGGATTTCTTCTTTGAAGAAAAGCAAAATCTAAGGTTTGATGTGTAAGTACCCTGATGTTTTATTCAAATTCCCCAAATCAATCCGAGGTGAGTCTGTTGCATCGCAACTCAATTTGGTGAAAAGAAATCTCATTCAGACTGGTAGAGCAATGAACTGGCTAGTCACTTGTGGGCCTCCCTGATTAGATTTGATTTTTTGTTATCTCCACTTAATTTCACGAACCTTTTTATCCTTCATCAAGAGCTATCATAGGTCACTCACATTCTACTTTAGCTTTATCTGCAGGGTATGAGCCGCATAATTATTGTGACAATTGCTTTAACTAAGCTGAAGATAGTGAAGTGAGGAAATTGTACCCAAAAAAGAAAAATAGGGTGCATACATTTTCATATTTGGTGTGGAATTGGACTCTCATACTCAAATGTCATCCAATACTAAAGGCTGTCTCAAAAAAGTGCCTTACAATTGTTTATTCATTTATGTATTGATCAATTTACTTTAGAATTTTTTTTCAATATGTTCATCATTGTGGGTTTTTTTGCGGTAGTGTCGAACTACATCAGCCGGGCTGCCTGGTGTAGTCACATGAGAACAATTAAATGAAACCGTTGATCAATTTTTTCCTTTTTGAAAACCAGATATGTTCCATTGAAGAGTAGCCGTTTTTTTTTTTTTTTTTAAATTTCTCATTATATCGGATTTAGGCTTTGTAATAATTGTTTTTCAAGGTTTTTTTTTTGAAGCAGTCAGAATGAAGCACAGCCTTGGAGCTCATTAAATCCACATACTTGCGCTTTGGAAAAATGCGCTGTTGAGTAGCTGAGCTAAATTGCATGCAATCAATGACTATTTCAGCACGAAGGGAGATGTCAAAATCTGAGCATGATCTGAGCACTCCACACGCATGCAACATTGCCACTATTTGCAAAGAAGCATTTTAAATGTCACATTGAAATATATGTACAGAGTACTGTTCGGTTCTAAACAAGCAACTGCACTTGTGGAGGTAATCCTCCCAGATCAGGGGCCACCAACATGGTGCCCACAGGCAGCAGGTAGCCCCCCTGGAGCACGAGTAACCCTTTGGGCTATTCTAAAAATAGCTCACCAGTGAATAAATCACACTTGCATTGGTGTAAATTGGCAAATGTGTTTTGTTTTGTTTTTGGTTTTGTTTTAAGTCACATTAAAAAGACATGAAAAAGAATTAAATTAGAGTTGCTGTTACCCGCAGAAACTCTGATTTGGAACAGGCAATACTGTTAAGAAAAAAAACTACCGTAGTCAAGTCCAAATGTCAGTCGTTCATAGCATTGGTGGAAACAAACTACCAGGCACAACTACTATAAAATTATTTTTTTTCCAAATTATTCAAATGTGTTATTTGAGAAGTTGGTATCTAAATGGTGGCCATTTGTAATAATTAGCAGCCAATAAGTGGTCATTTTAAAACAACTACAACAACAAAAATGACTTCTGACTCTGAGAAGCAGCTCTGTTTCAAAAATATATTCTCTTGAATAATCCGAGGTGACTTGAATCAAAATGAAGAAAATGAATCAAACTGCCCACATTGTTAGTAAGCAACATATCACTGCTAATATGCTACTTGCAAAACTAAACTTCAACAGATGTTGAGACTTTTTTTTTCTCTCATATCTATGTTTCCGCCAGGTACAATGTGGACTCCAGAAGCTGCAACATTTCCAAACACGTAAGTCCAGTATGCCAATGTGAACTGACAGTTTTGACTCAGAGCTGATAGCTCTCATTTGCGGTGCAAACTCATTTACAGTGTTAAGAGTGAACAACAGCCATGTTGTAACTCAGTGTGCATAAACTGTCATTCAGAACTCAATGTAGCGTGATCTACTGACAAATGTTTTTTTTTTCCTTTTTCTCCCTCCACAAAATTATCAATCATGCCGGAGCGCAGAAGGTGAGTGGTTTATGATTAAAGTCCACTGTTTGGCTCATCCTCCTTCACTCATTCCATTATTTGTTCTAAAATAGTCCACTTCATTGCTTTTTCTCCCATTCTTTCATCTCGTCTCATCAAGGACAAACAGCCCCGAGGCAGAGAGTTTGCCCACTTCACACTGTTCTTCACCGTGTTGTCTCTCCTCGGCGGGACTTCAAATGTACAAGCAGCTGTTGTTGTTTGAGGCGACACCAGATTGTGTCGGGACATTTACAGGTGCTAAACACATCGAGACTTGTCCCTACACATAAAGGACACAAAAGAAAAGACGTTTCATGTTTCAACCTGTTGTTGCAAAAATGTAGCGTGGTTGCCATTTACATTTAACCCTTGCAGGGACAGCGGTGACTACAGTAGACAGCTTATCATATTTTCAGGTTACTGGGTACATGAATGGGTTAAAGAAAGAGAGAGAGAGAGGAGCCGCTGCGGGTACCCGCGCCGCCATCACAGACATACTCCAATTGCCATGACGCTTGTTCGTGTGTTGCTACCTCACTTTGGCATCTGTCCATTAGTGTCTGTCCACTGTAGTAGTGCATGTTTATTTCTGTATCTGAATGTAGTATGTTCTTGCTTAGTGGCAAGAAGCTAGAAATAAAAATGATTGAACATCCCCACGAGGAAGGCAAAGTCATTTCTCTGAATCAGTTTTTGGAATGTTAGAATTAGGGTCTGTATTTTCATTGGGTGGATGTGTGTTGTCGTGGAATGTTAACAGTTGTTAACTTTATTCACACGAACCTGACAGTTAAAGTCGAATGGGAATGCAAATGTTACTTAAAATGTGGCACGATGGAAGCGTTAGAACAGGGGTGTCAAACATACGGCCCGCGGCTCGGGTCCGGCCCGCAAATGAGTTTAATCCGGCCCGCGAGATGATTATGTAAAGCAGGGGTGTCAAACATACGGCCCGCGGCTCGGGTCCGGCCCGCAAATGAGTTTAATCCGGCCCGCGAGATGATTATGTAAAGCAGGGGTGTCAAACATACGGCCCGCGGCTCGGGTCCGGCCCGCAAATGAGTTTAATCCGGCCCGCGAGATGATTATGTAAAGCAGGGGTGTCAAACATACGGCCCGCGGCTCGGGTCCGGCCCGCAAATGAGTTTAATCCGGCCCGCGAGATGATTATGTAAAGCAGGGGTGTCAAACATACGGCCCGCGGCTCGGGTCCGGCCCGCAAATGAGTTTAATCCGGCCCGCGAGATGATTATGTAAAGCAGGGGTGTCAAACATACGGCCCGCGGCTCGGGTCCGGCCCGCAAATGAGTTTAATCCGGCCCGCGAGATGATTATGTAAAGCAGGGGTGTCAAACATACGGCCCGCGGCTCGGGTCCGGCCCGCAAATGAGTTTAATCCGGCCCGCGAGATGATTATGTAAAGCAGGGGTGTCAAACATACGGCCCGCGGCTCGGGTCCGGCCCGCAAATGAGTTTAATCCGGCCCGCGAGATGATTATGTAAAGCAGGGGTGTCAAACATACGGCCCGCGGCTCGGGTCCGGCCCGCAAATGAGTTTAATCCGGCCCGCGAGATGATTATGTAAAGCAGGGGTGTCAAACATACGGCCCGCGGCTCGGGTCCGGCCCGCAAATGAGTTTAATCCGGCCCGCGAGATGATTATGTAAAGCAGGGGTGTCAAACATACGGCCCGCGGCTCGGGTCCGGCCCGCAAATGAGTTTAATCCGGCCCGCGAGATGATTATGTAAAGCAGGGGTGTCAAACATACGGCCCGCGGCTCGGGTCCGGCCCGCAAATGAGTTTAATCCGGCCCGCGAGATGATTATGTAAAGCAGGGGTGTCAAACATACGGCCCGCGGCTCGGGTCCGGCCCGCAAATGAGTTTAATCCGGCCCGCGAGATGATTATGTAAAGCAGGGGTGTCAAACATACGGCCCGCGGCTCGGGTCCGGCCCGCAAATGAGTTTAATCCGGCCCGCGAGATGATTATGTAAAGCAGGGGTGTCAAACATACGGCCCGCGGCTCGGGTCCGGCCCGCAAATGAGTTTAATCCGGCCCGCGAGATGATTATGTAAAGCAGGGGTGTCAAACATACGGCCCGCGGCTCGGGTCCGGCCCGCAAATGAGTTTAATCCGGCCCGCGAGATGATTATGTAAAGCAGGGGTGTCAAACATACGGCCCGCGGGCCGGAACCGGCCCGCAAGTAGGTTCAATCAGGCCCGCAGGATAATGTAAAAGTGAAAAAAATGCATTAAAGACACAGAATTAATATTTTTAATCAGGTGCAATTCATTGAGTATCCGCAAGGGGACACTGTTTTGATGAGAGAAGAAGACAACAGCAGCCTCAGTCTGTCACTGAGACAGACCCATGACAGCAGACGCTATCAATAGCACTCTCACATTTACACATTTAATAGCACTCTCCTTAGTTTGTAAGGTGTAGGCAGGGATTACATTTAGATTTTATATGCACGTGTAAATGCTTTAAAACTTGCTTTCTTTATGAATCTTGTTTAATCTTAAAGTGCATTACTATATTTTTCAATACCAATTACTTGTTAAAGTTTGTACAATCAGTGGGATCAGTTGCAATGCATATATGTGAATGATAAAAGTAAATTGCACATTTGTCGAAGGAAATGTAAGGTGCTTCATGAAATGTTTTGTAAAAGATATGTTCATTAAATTTCAACATTTTCCTAATGTTCTTGTGCTTCTTTATACCAAAACAAAGGAAAGACATATTGTTTTGGTTATTTATAGCAAAGTATTGTATCATTTTAATGGTCCGGCCCACTTGACATCTACCGAGGCCGGATGTGGCCCACCATGTGAAATGAGTTTGACACCCCTGCGTTAGAACATTTGCCTCATGGATCTGAGATTAGGGTTCATATCTGGGCCCAGATCTTTCCATATGGAGCAGGCGTGTTCAGTTTTCCCAAAGACGATGCTCTAAATTGTCTGCAGATTTGAGTGGTTGTCTATATGTGCCCACCAAATCGCTGGTGACCAGTCACCTGAAGTCAGCTAGGATAGGCTCCGGCACATCTGTACCAAGTAAGCGGTCTAGAAGACAGATGGAAATATTGCCTGTGCAATTCATCTGTGTTTTTATGATGGCAATAGTATGACCCTTGAAAGATTTATACACCCAAAAAATAAAGAAATAAAAATCCCGAAATTGATTGCATCTGACTGCAGCTTCACCATGAAGTCATCCATTTTTATTTACTTTTTCCTCAGGATTTTTTGGGCCAGACGTTTTGCACCCTTGGAGAAATCATTGGTTCCACGGGAGGGCGGCTGGAGAAAACTCTTTC